GAGTCCTGGCTATTGCAATAAGGCAAGAAAAATATGATAGGCATGAAAACTGAAAAGAGAGAAGAAAAGGGGTCTCTATTTGCAGATGAAATCATTGTTTATTTAGAAAGCTATTGGAGATCTACAAAACTACTAACTAATAAGTGGATTTAGCAAGGTTTCAGGATATAAGGTGTATCAGTCAGGATTCAACCAGGAAACAGAAGCCACACCATAATTTGAAAAGGAAAAGTTTAATATAAACAATCATTGGAAGGAGAACTTTCCTCACCAAGATTGGGATCCCAGACCTCTTTAAAGAAAGTGTGACTGCAGCCCTCTGGATGGCAAATTTTGCTAGGTTGCCTGACCAGAGCTGGAACACAGTCCTGCGGGCTGAAGGTAAGCCAAGGCTGCTATGTGGACCCAGCAATCTGAGTTTCAGCCAGCCCCCCAGGTGATTCTGATGTGCACTCAAGTTTGAGAATCTCTCCTCTAGAGTGACATTAAGGGCATGCCTTATGTCCAAGTTTTGGATAATTTTTCTTGGTCCACACCAAAAGGCTGGTCTAGTTGTGTTTTAGTATTTAGCACACTCATTTACGTCAGGGCAGAAAGAGGTGTTAACACATATAAGCCTCGTGAAATCATTGCAATTTATATCCATTCACTTTTGGTCAACTTCTAAGGCCAGAGAATTAGCTTCTGTAGAAGCAGATGCAGGTAGACGTGTGCAAGCACACACACAGCGGTGCGCTGGTAAATGTACACTGGCTCTCTAGGAATATAAAGCCCTGATTTGTAGCATTTGCCAATTTCTGTGGTGCAAAAACTCCCACTGTGGCTAAGTTCAGGCTACCAACATGAAGTCAGCGAACATGAATTTGGAAAGCCATGTACCCAGGGACTCCGGGGCTGGTGGGAGCTGCTGCTGACAGCAAAGCCATAGTTTCGGAAGTGTCCCCTTCCTGCCTGGGCCCCCCATCCATTCTGGGGCCAATGCTTCTGCCTCACCAGCCCCACAGTGGAGGCCGTGGGGACAGGTTCTCTTGCTGACTTAATCCCAGTGTGGGAGGGGGCTGGGAGCAGAAGCGCGTCCACACGCACCGTCCAGGAGCCAGCCTGCCTTGGCCTGATTTTGTTTTACTGCAGGGAACTGCCTACCGCTCTGGAACAGGTTGACTCTGTCACCTGACATCAAAATGGGACCCCTTCAGAGCATCGCCGCCCTGTAGGTGGGTGGGAGTCCCTCCATTCTGTTTGGAAACCAGGGATCCTCAGCAGTGGGTGCTGGGGCCTTGCACATGGGAGGTGGACAGTGGAAGCATCCAGCACTCTGCCGCCTGGTGCGGGATCCTCCCTGTAGGGGGAGAGACCCCTTCCTGGCCAAGCAGGCAGGGGGTGGGGTGGGGTGAGTGGCGGCAGCTCAAGGGGCTGACGACTGCCCTGGCCATGGGTCTCATGTTGTCAGACGGCAGCTAGCTGCTCAGACTTCTCCCTGGAGCCCAGGCCTCATGCAGAAATGCTCAGGGCAGGGAAGGGCGTGGAGTGGGGACTAGAAACCTTCAGAAACATCACTTGGAAACTGCAGGCGCTGTTCTCGGAGCCACAGGGATTCTGAGATGGGCATGGGGGTAAAGCAGAGTTAAGTGTACAAAGCATCCCGCCCCCACCGCAGGACGTAGGGAGGTGGCTGATGTGGAGGTGGGGGCTGGCTTCCTGCTGGCCGGTGTGTGCCTGTGCACACAGTCACCCAGACCTGGGTCTCCATCGGAAGCCCCAGATGGGCGAGGTGGCTGGATCAGGAGCCTGCATACATGTGGCTTGGTGGGGTGGCCTCCAGCTGTCCACACTTGTCCCTTTAGGTGACCAGTGCCCAGTGTGGCAGAGAACCAGGGTGGCAGGGAGTGCAGGCATGGAGCCACAGCCCAGGTTGGAGGTACCTGCTGGCTGTGTGACCTTGGAGTGTCACTCTAGGTCCCTGTGCTTCAGTCCCCTCGGGCTGTGACGTGCCTGAGCAGATCCAGGAGCCAGGCAGGGCATGGCAGGGGATGCACACAGCAGGTGGTTGGGGCACAGGCATTCAGCAGCAAGCCCCCGGGCTCTCTCCACCCTGGGGTTCTGGGGGCAGAAGGGGCAGCACTGGGTGGTCCCAGGGGCAGAAGCCATAAGGAAGCAGATTTCAAACACCCTAAGGGAAGGTGTGGTAGGAGTTGCATTCCCCAAAAAGAAGCTGAAGTCCTAACCCCTCGTACCTGCAAATGTGACCTTATCTGGGAACAGGATGACTGTGTTGAAATCTTTAGGGAGGGCCCCAAGCCACCATGACTGGGTCCCCTTATGAAAAAGGGACATTTGGACCCTGACCTGCACACAGGGAGAAGGCCACGTGAGGACGGGGGCAGAGATCAGAGTGAGGAGTACAAGGGGTGGCAGAGATGTACAGCAAACTGTGCAGAGGGAACATGAGCAGAGGGGGACGGAGGGCCACCTGTGAGCCAGGACACCTGAGGCTGCCGGAGCTGGGAGAAGCCCAGGGCGGGTTCTGACCCACAGCTTCAGAAGGGACCAGCCCTGTGGACACCTTGGTCTTGGACTTCTGGCCTCCAGAACCGGAGAGAATTTACCTGTTGGTCAAACCATGCCATCCTTGGTGCTTGGTTACAGAAGCCCCTGCGAAACTAAGTGTCCTGGCGTGCAGAGCCCTCTGCCCCCATCACTGCAGTTACGTGAGCAGAAGCCACCCAGAGGCCAGCCATCCCGATGGGCTGCCACAGCGGGCCTTCCAACCCTGAGCTTGGCCTGGGGAGCCCTGTGGGCTAGGGTGGGCCCTGCTCTCAGGGGCTGGGTCACATGGAGCCGGAAAGTGGGAGCTGCGGCACAGCCCATGGCGGGGTGGTGGGCAGTGCATCTTTGGAGGGAGTTTCCTTCCTGGGTCAGGGAGCTGGAGATGGCACGAGTTGTCCCTCCCCCAGGCCCCAGCCTCTCGTAGGAATGTGGCAGCCTGTGCTGGACCCTGTGGGATTGGGTCCAGGCTCCCCCACCCTGCGCGGCAGGATCTCGGCAGTTTCACAGCCTCCCTGCCTCAGCTCTCACCCCCACCCCCACCCCCACCAGGCCCAGTGGGCCAGGCAGCAGGGCTAGCAGCAGGAAAGCCCCAGGAGGGGGACCCGAGCCAGGAGGCAGGCAGCCCCAGGACCCACAGCTCTGTCTCTGAGAGTGCACTTCATTCATTCCCTACTTCCCGAGCGCCCACTTGCTGAGAGCCGGGTACTGTCCTAGATGCTCAGAAAACTGACCAAGTTCCCTGCCTTTGTGAAGCAGGCAAAAACATAAAAGTAAATCATAGACTCTGAAAGTCTAAGGAATCGGAGCAAGGAAGGAAAGGAGATGCGTAGTGAGGGTGGCTGGGGACAGCTGCACTGAGAGGGGACTGGTCAAGGCCCCAAGCGAGTGGGGAGCCAGCGGGGGAGCCAGCTGGGGAAGAGCAGCCCTGGTGAAGATACAGCATGTGCAAAGGCCCTGCAGAGGGAGCGTGCCCAGGGGGTTCCAGGAAGAGCAAGGAGGCCATGTGGCTGGAACAGAGTGATGGAAGCAGAGAGAAACAGGAAAGGCAACTGAAGGGCAGAGTACACGGTGCCCGTGGCCTTGGAGGACTCACGCTGGAAGTGACAGCAGGCTTAACAGGGGCACTGTCACACTGCTGGGTTCACAGCAGACTGCGGTGGGACGGGGAGAACATGATCCAGGTGAGATGATGGGTAACACCAAGGCTGTTGGTACAGGCGGCCAGGCGTGCCCCACCTGCTCACGTTCTGAGGGCCTGGCTGACAGACTGGCTAATGACTAGGTGTGGAGGGAGAGTCCTGGAGGGCTGGCCTCGGGGAGGCTAAGTTGTCTGAGATGCCCAGACATCCACAGGGCTGGCCAGGCAGTTGGATGTGAGTGGGAGTCCGTGGCAGAGGTCCAGGAGAGATGAAAGCTGGGGAGCCACCAGCCAAGACAGAAAACCAGGAGGCTGGCTGAGGCCAGCCAGAAATTCAGAAGAGGAGACCTGAGCCCCCCGGCATTCAGCGATAGCACAGAAGAGACAGGCAAGCGGGCTGGAGAAAACTGGGCAGTCAGGGTCCTGAGCGCCTCTTGCAATAGGAGGGCGTGGTTAACAAGAGCCCCACTTACCTGGCAGAGGACGGTCATTACGGACCTTGATCTGGCCAGTTCCAGGGGAGTAACGCGGGGAGGGGCAGCCTGATTGGAAAGGATTGAGAAGAGTGGGAGGAAAATCCGAGGCTGAGAATGTCGGGTCTTTTGAGCCCCTCCGCCAGGAGGGCAAGGGCTCGCAGCGGCCCCGAGGGGCTCCTCGTGAACCCTGGGTGGGACTGGGCTGGCTCCCAGGGAGGCTCAGGTGGGCGGAGAGCTTATAGTTGGGGGTCAGGCAGAGCTGACTTGAACCCTGGGCCCCACTGTCTCAGCCCAGGACTGTCACAGACCTGCACTGCCATGGGACCCACCTGCCCCACCCCAGGGCTCCAGTGGGTGGCCACCTGGTATCGGATCCCACTCGGCCCCACTGATGGTCCAGGGGCAGGCTCCTCACCAGCTGGGCCCACTGGAGGCCTCTGCACAGCCTGGAGCCTGGAAGCAGGGGGCTCTGCCTTCCCAGGTGGACGGCTCTCCTTCACGGCCAAGAACTGAGCCCCAGGGTGGCTGTGGGTCCCATGTGCTGTGCTGCCTGGGAGGCAGGAAAAGCAGGTGATCATGATGTGCCCAGAGAAGCAGAAATGAGAGCGGTGTGGGCACAGCTCCGCACAGCGCCTGGTCGGGCAGGTCTCCGCTGCTTGTGGCCAGTGATCCTGCCCTACGAGCTGCCACAGGGCCTGCTGGGGTTGGGGATCCGCCCGGGGAGGGTGCCCCGAGAGCTCCCCTCCCTTGGGGTGGGCGCAGGACCCCATTTCTGGCTCTCCAGTCCCACCTCCCTGCCCCAGGTGCTCCCAGGGCCTCTCTGCTGAAGTCAAGAAAACAAAAACCACAGGACTTTGAAATCATCAAATTTAATCATACAGAAGGAAAACTAATTGGCATATTTAGGACAAACACTTTTCTCTATCCTCACTACCCACTGGACGGTCCTCCTTGGTCCAAAAAACTAAGTCTCAAGACACGTCAGCAGCTACCCCTCCCGGGTCCAACCTTTCATATCCTCCCATATGTTTTAAAAAACCGAATTCAACCCATCCAAGGAAAACGAACCCACAAAAAGGAACCTGAAGACATGAGCATCACAAGCCGCGCGGTAATGCGTGACTGGCATCTAGAGTAGCCAATATGTAAGACGTGTGTCTCACGGTTCACTTTGTTCTTCAATAAAAGAATATAAAAATCTTGTTCAACCCAGTGTTAGGTGTATTAAAATAGATCTGTATCGGACAGCACAGTTTCTCCCGGAGTCGTGGGAATGACAGAGGGGACCGTGGCGGTCTGCGGGGTCCCGGCCAGCCTCCTTGCTCTGTGCCTGCTGTGTGCGTGTGTGTGCGGTGATGGGGGCTGCGTGCGCACACGCACACGTGGACTCCATGCAGTTCGGCACCATGTGATATGCAGGGGGTGGGAACCCTATGGCTCCGGGGTGCTTAGCCTGTGTGCTGCATCCCTCGGGACTGGAGAAGCCGCTGGGGGTGAAGGGCCAGCACGGCCCACGCTGGGACACATGGGCCCCTGCAGGATGGCGTGTGCACCCTCAGCTCGCACCAGCTCAAGGAGACGAAAGGACAGAGGCCCTCCATTCCCAAGGCCAAGCCCTCCACAGGCTATGGCCCTTCCTCCCCAACCCTCACCCCATTTAAAAAAAATCCTCTGGATCTCTCCAGTTTGGCAGCCCCCCGGAGGGGTTCCCCGTTCGTACCTTGCAGCAGAGACTCCTGTAAGCAGGAAAAGAAGTCAGGAAGTGTCCCCCCCTTCACATTGAATATCTTACAATAAAAACGCCATACAAAAATGTCAAGTTATTTTTTGGCATAGTGTCTGTACTGGCAAGAAAGGAGGAACGGAATGCTTCATCGGCTCTTTGAAAGGAGAAATAAAAGGCTTCAGTCCTAAGTTGAATGATTCAACCCCAAATAGAAAACCTGCCAAATGACTCCCCCCCGCATGGCTGCAGCTCCGCCTTGCCCAAGAACTCCACGAGAACAATACATCAATGGCACAGAGAGTCCAGAAAGATCGGCCGCTGGAAGGTGGGGCACCGCGGGGCCGCTCCAAAGACACAGGGGCAGACGGAAGCCAGGCAGGGGGACAGAACGGCGCCCCTTGGGAGCGTGCAGCATGGAGCTGCTTTCAAGGTAAACATTTCTGATTCTTAATGCTAATAATACTGACAGGCAGGGGCCGGGGGTTGTGGGAAGGCGCCGGGTGCACCCCAGGCCCAGGCCAGCCCCAGTGGGCCCCTGCAAGGGAGGCCCTCGGGGTCCTACCTAGATTGCTATCCACTTCTTGTCCAACTACCTCTACGCTCAGCTATGTGTCAGGGTCTCGATGCCCCTCCCGCAGGGCACTAGCAGCCCTGCCCAGTCTTCTGGCCCCTCCACACCTCTGCCCTTCCCTCTCCGCGGGGCAGCTGAGGCCATGGAGACAGCTGTGCCTAGAAGCTGGAGGCCTGGGCAGCCCCCCAACCCCTGGGGCTGTGTGCCCGGGCCCCTCACACCCCACGGGCTTCCTGGTGTCCCGTCTGAGCAGAAGAGTGCGGGCAGGGCTCCATACCCGCCCGTTCCAGCTCTAGGACTCCCACCCAGCGCCCTCCCCCATTGTCCTCTGTCTCTCTCTCTCTCTCTGGTTTTATTTTTGTTTGAAATTCATAGTGTTTATGGATTAAGGCTGACAGAACCCTCAGGTCTTGTGAGCAGGGTCCCAGTAACTTTCCGTGGCTGTGAAGATGGGTCTCTCGGGGTCAGTTGTGCCCCTGAGGGTGCTGGAGGGCAGAGTGTATGGCTGCTGCCGAGGGCTTGGTCCAGGGCCCGGCCAGCAGCGGGGCGGGGCTGGTGGTCGTCATGGTGACCTGGAGCATCTGTTCACCCCGAATCAGTCTCAGGAGGGCCCGCAGGCGGTCCAAGGACGACTGGGTGCCCCTCTGTCGGGCCAGCAGGTTCGTCTTCAGGTCCAGGCATTTCTGTTGGCGGGGAGGGAATCAGAGAGAAGGGTCTCAGAATTCCACAGTGCAGGCGGCCACCTCACCGGCCCTCTCTCCTAAAGAACTTCCCTTTCCTTGAAGAGGCCCGAAAGAAACCAGGCAGAGGGGCCTCACAAAAACCAGGCAGCAGTGAAAAATGGAATTCAATGGCAGTTCAGACACACAGGAGAAGTTTGTTTTAGAATTTAGGCCTAGGAAGGCTCCTGCTGCTCTGCAGGGGTGTGGGAACCCGGCTGACCGCACCTACCGCTCCTACTGGAGGAAGCTCACAGCTGGAGAAGACAGAGCTTCGCGTGGCCGGCTGGCTCTGCGCTCTTTGTCCTGCCTGCTGCGTGCTTCTCTTTATCTAGCCTTTATATGTATCATGGCGATTCAGTGAAGGGCTAAGGACTGATGCCTCGAGTTAAAGCTCGTTATTACTCAGACAAATCACTAGCTCCCTGAGACGGGGCCCCAAACTCTAAGACATGAATCAGCACAGAGTCTCTTCATAGGTTTATTGAGAGGATTAAATGAGATACTACATCCGGAGAGTTTTACTAGGGCCTGGCACTGCTTTTACCACTGTTAATCACCCCCTACCCCATCACGGTTACCACTGCCACCCCCAGCACCACCATCACTACTATCTTGTTTATCACCGCCCCACGGGAGTGGTAATTGTATTCACTTTACACTAGAGGAAACAGGTTCAGAGACGGCCTTGCCAAAGCCGATGCGCGGGGAAGGGGCACAGCGAGATGCGCAGTCACTCTTTGCCCAGTGAGTCTCAGAGCTCTATCCCCGCCTACTGGCTGAGTGACCATGGCGAGTCTGTCTTCTTCTGGGGCCTCAGTGGCGGGACAGCGAAGCTCGGGACTCCCACCCTGCGCTCTAAGGGCAGC